GAACCCAATTGTTGTTGGGTATTTTGAGGAAATCAACCCATTAGGGTTTGGTGCTCAATACTCGGTTTGTTGAGATAACTTTGAAAAAAAGATTGGGTTCACTTGGTATCCTTATCCTCTATATCTCTATCCTTGATAACTAATTTCATATCTTGAGGAGTCTATCTTTGTGAGAAACTCATAGAAATTCGTTTTCACCTCCTACCTATAAATTGGAGCTTTGGCCTCGGTTTCAAACACACCAAAAATTACTGTGCTTTGTGCCTCTTGGAAGAAACTGGAAAAATGTCTCTGCATTTGTGTGCAACCTTCTTCAGCCTTAGTGTGCCTCTGAGATTCTACTGTTATCTCCACCCTTTGGTGTACCCCTTTGTGGTGTTGGATTGAATCTCTGAGCCGAATAGAAAGGGGATTATTTGTTCATTTTAATCTCAATTCTTCATTTGTCGATTTCATTTTAGTTTGGTGTTAATTCACTTACTAATTGGTTAATTTCTTCTATTTGTGGGATGGATTATCACTAATAATTGGTATCAGAACCTGGGTGTGCTAAATCCGGCCAGAAATCGATCGAAAATCTCGAAGCCATTCGAATACCCGAGCCTATAAATCCAAATTCCGGCCAAACCACTCACCTGCCGGAAAATCTGAAGCCATACCCAGACTCAGCAGGCTCAGGCGCACCTCCCGGTGATACGCGTGGAGGTGCACATGGGCGGCGGTGCGTGGACGGTGCGTGGAGGCTCATCTCCGGAAGCTTTCTTCAGGCAGTTTGCTTATTTTTATGTCCTGAACATACTAATATAATTTGTTTCATGTTTCAGATTATATAGAAAAGTTTGAACGATTTTGCCCTTGGTAGGTCAACTAGTGCAGACTGCTATATATTTACTGAATTACTTTAGGCCAAGATTGCGATCCTAAAGCAGTAAATTCGCATCTCTCCTATTTACGGACTTCAGAAGTTGTCCGCTCTGGTAAATTGGCTGAAACCTTTACGTTATCGCACTAGCAGATCATCGTGTGGGGTGATCATAAGGATTGGGGGTTGCCATTGCTTGGTAACCAATGCTTGTTGATAGAACCTAGGATTACTTGCCATTCTTTGTTTAATTTCAATGTGCAGAAATTAAAGATTGAATAATGACGATTTCTTTTGACGTAAGCTCTGGAGGTTCGACGATCACATCTAATACTTACATTCCCCGTTGAGCATCCAATAAATTGAATTATGCTCGGTTGCTTTAAATAGCCCAAAATGGCAACAAAAGTTACAAAAGTTTAACCAATACACCAAGATAGCACATGAACACTTATCTTTCAAGAATAACATCCAATCATGAAGAATCACCAAGAATCTTCTCAAACTCTGAAATAACAACTCAAAAGAACCCTCCAATTCTTACAAACATTCATTTGGAATATCACAAATCAGAGGCTAAATTTCACAGATCGTGTTTCTCAAATCAAGAATTTCTCTCGTTTTTTTCTCTCTCTCTCTCTCTCAAAAAACAACAGCCAAAACCAAATGAATCAGCCAACAGATGCCAAGTGAAACGGCATACATGAGACAAAGCTCAAGAACCATCCAGAAGCAGCAATCAACGGCCAGATTAAAGCCACATATCCCAATCCAGTGAAAATAAAGTCGCATTTTGCAAATGCGATCTCATCACAAATTCTGGGAGCACACATAATTCGGACCAGGCCAACATAACTTCAGATAAATACACATTTTTCATTCTCCGAAACTATGCTCATGAACTGATAGTAAGGTTGTCGTGTTTGTTGAGCCATTAAGATTTTAGAACGACAGTTTGTACAGTAAAGCTAGACTCTTGATACCTATGTTCATCCGTTTTTATACATGCATGGAACAAAATAAGCACTGCTTATCCTGAAAAAAGAAAAAAAAAAAAAAAAGATACAAACTTCGTCGCTGGAAGCCCAAGCTTGTATACCTTGATATTTTATCACAATATTTTAAGGCATCTCTTTGTATCTTGCCACCAGAAAAAGGTTCTCTGTTTTTCTAACAGACAAGAAAGTTAAGGAAGATCTCTTCTGCTTCTCATTATCATATAGGTTACGACCAGGGACAATGTTGGAACTTCTAATATATTTGTGTGCAGAACGACCATGATGGGAAGTGATTGAAGAAACGGAGTACAGTACCAGTCAGAAGACTACGAAGTTTCTTGCGCAAGTAAATTCATTGGATGTCATCTCTTATTTCTGAAATGAAAATATCTTTAGAGGAGCTTGCTGAAAGCATTTGATGAAGAGCCAGAGACTCGTCAATTTTGCTTCAATCAGTTGTCGATTTTTTTGGAGTTCTTCACCCCTGTTATCTTCCCCCTGTTGTTGTTCAGAATAATATTAGCAAACAAAAAAAATAAAGAATATAACGCACAAATTTAAATGGACCGTCAAAGCTTTTTTTCACTCTATGAAAATTGTTACAACCATATAGAATTTCACTCACCAACCCAATCCCAAAGTATTACAAAGAAAAATAAACCCAAGCTAACACCAGCCTGCCTCTGCTTTTGCTCCTTAGAATCTGCGCCGGCCTCTGCCTTTGTTCCTGGTATATAATTATTTATATAAACAACAGCCCACAATTGTTGACCTAAACAAGAAAACAACTTTCTCCTTTTGTCTCCCCAGAAGCAATCTGTTTTCAAAGAGCAACCGTCTATTTTTCTTCTGTAANTTCACAATTTCCTACAAAATAATTTCTAAACAATTACTTTCCTTGAAATTTATTTTCATTTCACCCATTTATAATAAACACCTTTTATTATTTGCAATAGGAGTCTTCCAATTTTTGACTTTTGAGGCAATTATCCAACACCCCCCACGGTCCTTTTTGCTGAGAAAGCATTTTCACCCTTTTGATTTTAAGATTGGAAATAATTTACTTATGGTACAGCTTATGCATGAAAAATTTAGTGCTTGTTCATAAGGTTCAAAAATCATTTGGCACGTTTAAATGCTTTCTTTTTGTTGTTGTGTTTGGATTTGATTGATTGCATTCTCTGTGTGTAAAGTTGGTTGGACCTACTTAGGTAGAGGCCGAGCACAACTTTTTTATAATTTACATGGAATGTGGTACGCGTGGGTTCAAAAGTTGGCGTATTGAGGTTTGGTATGCAATTATATTGAACATTACAAAGGATGAGATTTTAGTAGTACGCTTTACCAAACATTCAACTATTTTCTTTTTCTTGGCATTCGGGTTTTCAACTTTGTAGCACAATGATCCCCAGTGACAAGAGAGTTTCAGAATATGATCCCATATGGTTTGAGTGCAAGAAGAGTGAGGGGTTCCCTAAAATTATTATCTATGATGAATGACAACTTTCATTCGACACAACTAATAACTTTCTTGGTAAGGTCGACACTCTTTAAGGAAGAAAAAGAAATTAAAAATCTTGTGTCTCTCCTAATGTTTCTCGGTTAAGTTCAATGACAATGGCCACACTAGACTATACCTAAGTAAGAATGATGCTTCAATGTTATACCAAAAAGCAGCAGCTTTGGGGTTAAACCAGCCAAGTATAATATAAGAGCTAAACCAAAGGGGGATAATCTTGTACTAATTTCAATTACACACATGATCTGTTCGTTTGTGTAACAACGTAAGGGAAGAAGGAATAGCTTGGCCAGACAGTATAAAAAAAGTTACGTTCTTACTTCTTACCCTTTTATAAGGAAACACAATACGACAATAACGGAAGAGGTTTAGACTATAATTCTTCAGGTACTTCCAAGGGTTGTATCTCCGGTATATCAGCAATTGCTTCGACTATGGAAGACTCTATCACGGGTTGTAAGTGCCTTGTGTAATGGAACTCAATTTGTAACCGATGATGAAGAGGTGTCGATGCCATCAATCCCTTTTTCAGATCAACTTGCAATTCCCTCAAAGGGATTGCAGCCAAAAAGCTCTTAATGTACTCTTTGCACGACTCTTTTCCGGTGCAGACTATCTTCGGTTCTTCTTCACTATTTCCTTGCACATTACTGCTGTTGATAGTAATTTGTCCTTTGCAACTGCCCTCCTGCACTTCCTTTTTCTCATCGGTTATATGTTCACTGTCTGATTTTTTAGGCTCAATACGTTGATGGATGGTCGTATCTCGATCGAATTTCAAGATGAATGCTTGATTGCAGCCCTCATAAAGCCTCTCGCCCAACGTGTCGATGATGTAGTATGAATCTTGTTCGACCTTTAAGATGAAAAAGTGGTCATTCCAGCTAATGATGTAAACTAATGGGTCACCAGTCAGAGAGCAATGCATGTCAGTTAGACAAATCTCATCCCAAATGTTGTCAAACGACATCGCACCATGGAGGAAATCACAATCTCCATTTTCTAGTCCTTCTGGATGGAAGAAGCCAATGAAGGACTTCTCCGGTGCAACAGAAATCGGACGAACTTTAGCCTGGAGAACTGTATCCAGGTCAAAATGCTTGTCTGGGAACCTTTCCCTATAGGTCTCGTTTTCACAGAGATTCCTCCACTCTAATGAACCTTCACGGATCAGGCTGTCGAGTTGGGACTTGATCGGCATTTCATCTGAGTTTGATTGTAACCAATCAGCAATCACGGCTACCAGGGTTGTACATGCACTTTCGCCTGCTGCTCTTTCACTCCTTTGATAGAGTCTATCTTTGTGAGAAACTCATGGAAATTCGTTTTCACCTCCTACCTATAAATTGGAGCTTTGGCCTCGGTTTCAAACACACCAAAAATTATTGTGCTTTGTGCCTCTTGGAAGAAACTGGAAAACGTCTCTGCCTTTGTGTGCAACCTTCTTCAGCCTTAGTGTGCCTCTAATATTCTACTGTTATCTCCAACCTTTGGTGTACCCCTTTGTGGTGTTGGATTAAATCTCTGAGCCGAATAGAAAGGGGATTATTTGTTCGTTTTAATCTCAATTCTTCATTTGTCGATTTCATTTTAGTTTGGTGTTAATTCACTTACTAATTTGTTAATTTCTTCTATTTGTAGGATGGATTATCACTAATATATACCTTGATATTTTATCACAATATTTTAAGGCATCTCTTTGTATCTTGCCACCAGAAAAAGGTTCTCTGTTTTTCCAATAGACAAGAAAGTTAAGGAAGATCTCTTCTACTTCTCATTGTCATATAGGCTACGACCAGGGACAATGTTGGAACTTCTAATATATTTGTGTGCAGAACGACCATGATGGGAAGTGATTGAAGAAACGGAGTACAGTACCAGTCAGAATACTACGAAGGTTCTTGCGCAAGTAAATTCATTGGATGTCATCTCTTATTTCTGAAATGAAAATATCTTTAGAGGAGCTTGCTGAAAGCATTTGATGAAGAGCCAGAGACTCGTCAATTTTGCTTCAATCAGTTGTCGATTTTTTTGGAGTTCGTCACCCCTGTTATCTTCCCCCCACGGTCCTTTTTGCTGAGAAAGCATTTTCACCCTTTTGATTTTAAGATAGGAAATAATTTACTTATGGTACAGCTTATGCATGAAAAATTTAGTGCTTGTTCATAAGATTTAAAAATCATTTGGCACATTTAAATGCTTTCTTTTTGTTGTTGTGTTTGGATTTGACTGATTGCATTCTCTGTGAAGTCTCTCATCCCGTGTTTTCCAATTTGATTGAACCCTGCCCGGTTTAGAATTGTAAAGTTGGGTGGACCTACTTAGGTAGAGGCCGAGCACAACATTTTTATAATTTACATGGAATGTGGTACGCGTGGGTTCAAAAGTTGGCGTATTGAGGTTTGGTATGCAATTATATTGAACATTACAAAGGATGAGATTTATTGAAGATAATATCAAATCAATATTATCCTGATTTGATATTATCTTAATTTGATTTTCATATCTACCTTAA